AAAGGAAAAAAAAAAAAAAAAAAAAGGCTTGGTATCCTCGTTACTGGTGACGATGTGATCCTAGTCTTCGTTTCATTCAGCAAGCCAGCGGGCGGAGAGACAAGTTCAATCTATTGGCTTCAGGAGATTTGGACTGGGCCAGAGGTAGACGATTCCTGACGGTGCCCTGTAATCAGTCATGTTCAATACAATGCTCCGCCCGTTACATCTGTAATACGTGGTCATGCATATTGGGGCTTATCAGCAACGAACCCTTTGGGCGGGGATGCAATCAAGCCTCATCTTCGCCTGCTTGTTTATCATGCCGTGATAACCGCGTAAGCACTAGTTGGTGTAAAGCCTGACTTCGCAAGAATCTGCTCCCTGGGCAAATCCTGACAACGGAGACGTGTTTTGCCCCTTCATGACTCTTTCGCAAGTTTCCAGTCTAGTGCACGGAAGACTGCGTTCTTCCTTGGAGGAACCAGACGAGGAGGGAATCTGGACTCCCCTCCAGCTGGCCGCTGCGCAAGGCGATCTACCTGAAGTGAAGCTTCTTTTGTCTCAGCCATCAAGCAACCCCAACGAGCCCCCCCGGGGCTACTACGGCCAAACCGCACTTCAGGCAGCCTCGCTCAACGGTCATCTTAAGGTGGTCGAGACGCTCTTAGCCGCTGGTGCCGATGTGAATGCTCCTGGGGGCAACAACGGCGGCCGAACCGCCCTCACCCTCGCCGCGGGCGCTGGCCACTTCCAAATCGTTCGCCATCTGGTCGTTGCCGCAGGCGCGGACGTCAAGTACCCGGCACACAAATACGTGGGGCGCACCGCCCTGCAGGCCGCAGCGGAGGGAGGCCATCTCGAGATCTTACAGTGGCTTTTACAACACCAGCCTGTCACGGAGATCAACGCGCCCCCCGCAAACAACCGGGGTCGGACCGTGCTGCAGGCCGCGGCGTTTGGTGGCTATGATGAGATGGTAGAGTTTTTACTTCACGTTGGTGCGGAGGTGAATGCACCACCCTGCAGATATCATGGCGTGACAGCCCTCCAGGGCGCGGCTTTTAACGGTCACCGCACCACCGTCCTTCGACTCTTGACGGCCGGGGCGGATGTGAACGCTCCCGGAGGTCGGTATAATGGCTACACGGCACTGGCAGCAGCGGCAGAAGGCGGCCACGCAGACATTGTGCGACTCTTGCTGGACGCTGGCGCCGATGTGTCCATGGCATCCGGGAATAAGAATTGGACGGCGTTGCGGTTTGCGGTTTGGCGGGGACAGAAAGAGATCGTGCAGCTTCTGGCCTAAATGAAAGGATATACTACGACAGATAAGTGAACGGAATACAGTTATCTTACCAGGCATGAGTTGTAGTATAAGCCATCGCAGCAAGCTAGATGTAGTTTAGTAGTAGTTTATATTAGTGATCAGTTAGTGATTTGTATTGCCAGTTGGATCTCAAACGGCCATCTTGATCTTGATTCTAATGATAACTGGTCCCTTAATGCTATTGGTTATAATTCGGCTGAAAAGGTGCGTCGCAGCAGTATCTAGAGTAATATATATATTCTGCTCTCCTCAGCAGTCTGAAGTTTTCTTGTTGACTGAGATACTGGCTTTCACTGGACGAACATGGCAGGAGCGCCCGATATCGCTGAATACGGTACTAAGTTAATGATTACGTGCTAGGTCGGAAGAAGGTTTCTAATAAGTCGCGCTTCATTAGCCAATGTTGGATCTGTGTCTTGTTCATCCGGACGAATATCCCTTCAGGCTATTTTCGCAATCTGGACAAAATCCGCCATTTCAGCGTCACTTCCATCTCATATGTACATAAGGTACAGGCCTAACTTTTTATAAGGATGCTGGTTTCTTCTCGGCAAGTTTGTCGAATGATGCTATTTCTGCTGTTTACTCGCAACATAATCAGGACTTCTTAGATGAGTCCCGCCCAACGATATATTATTCAAAGGCACGGATACATAACGACAGTCGCATCAGAATCCGTACTGTGTATCAACCCGGAGTAGAGGATGATGCATGGTCTCCGGAATGACGGTTTCCTCACTCTTGTGGGTTGATAAAAACCTTTCGGCCGCTAATATGATCTCCATAGAGGAGGTCCAACGCCTTCTGGGCGGAGTTAAGCCCTCCTTCGAGCCACAATGCCGGATTTGGCCATATCGTGCCCTTTTTCAGTGCAGCCGGTAAATACGCGTCCATGTACCATGTGCGCAATTCGCGGTGCGCAGCCTGAGATACGAGTGTCTCAGAATATCCGGCCCACAGCTTCTCTATACCTGCAGGGATGGCCTCATCCCCAGGGGAAGGGCTGGTTGAAAAGAACCGGCCTCCCGTTTCGCGCAGCAATGCCACCATGCGTTGGGTTGTCGTGGTGGAGCCGATTGCATCAAAGATTCCCTCGTAAGGCCCATTCTCTCGGATTTCGCGGATCACGTCCTCGTCCGGGCGGCTATGATCGATGATATGCGACGGGTTGCGTTTCTCCACCATGGATCTGTTGGCCGCGGACGAGGTAGTGACAACTCCATACCCAGCATCCGTCGCATATTGAACCGCGAGGCCCCCCACCGCTGATGAACCGCCGTAAACGAGAATTTTCTTTCCCGTGAATGGTTTCTTGCCGGCGACTGGCGGCTTCGGAAGACCCATGTAGATTGTGAGGGCGGAGATCACGGTCGCCAGATTGGCGATCAGGCCGGCGGAACCAGCAAAGGTGGTCTCGGACTCTAGTCGCAGGGTGTTCTGCTCAAGCGCCAGTGCATACATCTGGAGGGCACCGAATCGGGGATCCTCGCTCGCCTGCTGGCCCCAGCGAGCCACCACCACCCGGTCGCCAGGTTGCACCGAATTTATCCCGGGCCCTGTAGAGACTACCGTTCCCGCAAAGGTGAATCCGAGGATCAGGGGATACTGAGATTGGAATAAATCCAACCTGGATTCTTAGTCTGACGGCCGACTGGCGGGTACTTGAGCACGATACCTCTGGATTTTGGCATCAATGGGGTTAAAGCTGGCTGCTTCAACCCGTACCAATAGTTCCCCCCGGCCAGGAACCCATTGCTCTACAGTCTCGACCTGAACTGTCCCCCGGGGATTCTTGATCCAGCATGCTTTGTTCGACATATTTTCAAGAAGTCATATTGAAGAAGATCAAATCTTACCAGAGGATGAGGCGTTGATGAAGAATCTGGAAATCCCCTGACTCGTGACATGAACTATTGATGGAAGCGACTGCCGATCCAATTGCCGGCCCAATGGTTGTATGACTCAACTGACATGTATCACGTGACTGGCAGGTCTCATCGGCCACGCAAATATTGGGTTTGATAACTGACCATTGGATTCTCCTCTTAGGGATAATAAACAAGTGGTGCTGGTGTTTGTTAAGTGGTATTGGTGTGGATGATGCATTGTCGTGACTATCTGTAAGTCTCGCGTCTAAGTAGTACGAGCTTGATATTTACCCTATGGTTTATAATATTTAATCATCCACCGGAGTTGCTACTCGTTTCGTCTAGTATTTGAAGTACTAGTAGGGACTTGTTACCAGTAGTCAGGATGCCCCAATGCCATCCTACCATCAAATACAAGTAGCGAAGATCAGGTGAAACCAACTTCATCATGTATTTCTAAATTCAACTGGATTACAAAGACAGAATGGTGATTCTCAAGAAACACCTGATAATGTGAACCATGCATATATGAATGGACAATATTATTGCCTTTACAATGTCCTTCATCTCCAAAGACCCGATGGCTATAGGCATTGCGAAATAGGTGCAGGGTCCCCCCACGTTGTAGATTGATGTTGCAATAGCAAAAGATCGGTAGCCTCCATGAAGGTTCAGGACATCTGACGAAATGTCTCCAATCGCCCGTTGCTAGGATTATATGAGATATGTACTCCTGCGGGTGGAGTACACATGCCAAACCCACATATATAACAACGGTTTGTACAACCTACGAATCGTTTGTTTGGCAATAATAGCGAGAAACTTGTTTGACAGAGATACTCAGGTTCAGTTGAGTTCCGCATTACGTGCATCATCTGGTTCTTTGTATTATCCAAGTACATAAGAGGTACAAGCCCAGAGTCCTTGATCAGCTGCATTAATCGGGGGTTTATCTTCGAATTTGGAGGTTCAATCAAGAGTTCCATATTCGTTATACTTCCCCCGCCCCCTGTCCATCAGATCAAGGATAAACATGACGTTTTCTTGATTGGTAACAACACCAATAGTTGGTGCGATCTTTCTTCCAGAAGCCTCCCAAAAGATGTAAATATAGAGTAGATGTACTTGGAGTACAACGGTAGGCGTTGACCGGATTAGCAAAAGCATAGCAGTGGCTGAAGGAGCTTTTCGTATTATGTTGGCTGCTGCGCCGTTTCTTTCTCATCCCTCGCGACCCAATTCATATATCCTGTCATTTAGGGACCTTCGTTGTGCTCTAATCGTATTACGACGTTTGATACTGTTGTTAGACATGACGAGTGGTCTGATCCATGTACCCCTGCGCTTAGGACCCCTGCCGTCCGCTAGTTATAATTAGAGCTACTGGGAGGAATGAATACTAAATAATCATTATTATGGCCTCTCCACTGGAGAGTCTCCCGAGACGCCATGATAGGCCTTGCACATGTGATCAGGGACGGCTATGAAAACAGGGTTCGTTTACTACATCGGCAATTTGTCTGCTGTTTTGGCTCGCTTACCTGCTCTTCCCCGCCAATCTCCACTTGGTTCGTCATCGCCCGCCCATAGTGCTGTCCCTTAATCAATTTGACGCGAAGCCCTCACATTTGGGGTGCGATCGTCACCGGCGGGCGCTTCAGCCCCCTAATTGTATGTCTACTTAAGTACTACTTGCTCTCCCGAATGCTCCCATCACTCAATCCTGAATTTTGTTGAGGATATAGAGACTACCATCACTGCTCATGATAGTCTCTTGATGGTCAGACGTCATCATGCGAGCCATAATTTTACCATATATTTTGTTCTTGGCCACTCTGGCACGGGCGCAGCTATCTGGTCCCGTCGGTCCACTGGTGGACTACAGCACTAAAGCCAGGAATCAAACCTGCAACATTATCGATTACGGAGCTCTCGCAGATGGTAAGACAGATATTTCGCAGCCCCTACTCGATGCCTGGGGAAATTGCTTTGTGGGGGGACTGGTCTACATCCCACCTGGTAACTACTCGCTGGCCGAGGATATCGAGCTCAAGCACGGCCAGTCCTCTGCAATTCAGCTTGACGGTGTGATTATGCGCGGACACCGCGGATCGTATCAGATGATTCTGATCCGTGACTGCAACGACTTCGAACTCTTCAGCGGCAACTCCCGCGGGGCCATCCAGGGCTTTGGGTACGAATATTTGCAAAATGAGACCTACGGCGAGAGACTGCTGCGTATCCAAGAGGTTAGCAATTTTTCGGTGCATGGATTTGCACTTGTTGACTCGCCCTCCTACTACATCGTCTTTGATACCGTCTCCAGTGGAGAGGTATATAACATCTTGATCCGCGGCGTGACATCAGTGGGGGCGACAGATGCCATCGACGTATGGGGAGAGAACATGTGGTTCCATGACATTGAAAGTGAGCAACGGCGATGAATGTGTCACGGTCAAGTCTCTGGCGCACAACTATCTGATCGAGAATATCTACTGCAATCTAAGTGGTGGGACCGCCATTGGCTCCTTAGGCACAGGCACCAATATTTCTGACATTCACTACCGCAATCTCTACCTGAATCGAGCAGATGCGTGCTTCCTGAAAAGTAACAATGGGGATGGAGTTGTTAAGAATATCATCTGGGAGAATGTCATAGTTCACGGCGGTCCGTACCCGCTAGCCATAGACGAGGCCTGGGGGGACGACCGAGGCTCAGTAGGAGTTCAAGTGTCCAACCTCACATTCCGAGTAAGTGCACGGACCAATTTTAATGTCTGAGGATATCCTAATTTGTTTGAATATATAGAACTGGCACGGAGAATCTGCTAGCGCCTCACGCCCAGTGATCCGTCTACAGTGTGACTCTGACATCCCATGCTACGATATTACCATTGACAATGTGAACCTCTGGGCTAACGACACCAGCTATGTGGTCTGGCTGTGTGAAAATGCCTATGGAGATGGGGCCTGTCTCCCTAGTGCAAAGGGAACAACAGATTTGAAGTCTTTTACCAGCAAACAGACTATAACTGCCACCCCGTACGTGACTACCTCGTAGTTCATTTCGACCCAGAATTACTAACAAGAAAGGTCCTATGCTGCGCCAATAATGGCAGCTGACTTCACCTCTGATCTGCCATCAACGAGCCCTTTTACTATTCCTCCCATGCCGACGAGTTTCTACCCGGGTGCTACTCCCATCTCAACACTCCTACATCTCCATGGTGCGGGTGGTCTCCCGTCAGCATCTCCCGTTTCACATCATCGACGACGGCATTGACTAGTTTATGCTGTAGTAGGTAATTCACTCACAGCATATTGGTAGTACATTAATATATAGGGTACATTCAGTATGTCCGGTGAAAGCAGCGGTTACGCAGTGTTATTGAACCTCAGCGGGTTTGAAGGGTATTATTACGTAGAATATCATTCATGTTGAACGTGTATCAAAGATAGGTTGTATCAGGAACTACATTAAATATCACATCACCTAATGGCAGTACTCATAACTAGCATCTTACTTCCGTTTCAGTCTATATTACAGGTCTGTATAATAGCTTGTATGACGTTGAAGAAGTTGGGGCGCGGCATATTGTCGTGGGTAAACGTAGATTTGCACCAGAACTTCCCGACGTCCTGAAGATCCAAAGTACGGTAAAATATAGCAATCGGATAACTGGTGACATATACTGCATGCAATGAGAGACTAGTAGTCGGATTAGCATTATATATTTCAAAGATCAATAAGCTTGTCAATTGATATATGTTCGTCCAAGCGGTTCTCACGTGCTTGTTGCATCTTCAAAGAAACAAACATCTCGAGTCCATCCAACTCCTCCTGTGACAAAAGCGAAAGCCTATCTTCAAGAGATCCCTGTCCATAATGTCGTTTGTCAAGAAATTGCCAATAGATATCATCAAACATGTAGCTTTTCCTAGCAGCAAGGCAGAACCAAAAAAGCCCGTTATTCAAAGACTCTGCCATGTGTCCTGAAAGTCGCTGATACTCCTTTAATGCACCCTTTCGGATCATCTCGTCCTCGCATGATCGGAGTGCATTGAGGAAGAGATGCAAGCGTGGTGTGTACCGTGCCAAGAATACATGCAAGTCTGTCTCCCAAGCTTCGGGGCTCTCGAAGAGGAGCCACCAGGGTGCAGTATAGGTAAATTCGGCAGGCGCAACGTAAGTAAATTCCCAATCAATAACACCAGTGAGTAAAAAGTCTTGTCCTGCAACAAGTACATTTGACGGACGCAAATCGTCGCAGTAAAGATGGAACGGACCCGACTGCTGCTTTTTATACTCCCGGGCGATTTTCCTAAAAAGGCAGCGGGCTATGTATTTCTTCCGACAATCTTGCTCATCATCAACAGCATCGTTCCGTTGGTATTGAAGGTGGAGAAGCTGCTGTCTCGCGAGTTCCTCGAAATATTCGCCCGCGGTACTGAATGTTTCTTCGGCAAATATGCCAGGAGGAAGATTTCCAACGCGCACCAGTTCGTTCATATTGAGGGTTAGTGGCCTTTGAGCTACTTTCCACATCTGAGATCCCTCTTCCAGAGCTCCAATAGACGAAAAGATTGGTTTAGACAATTCCAAGATAACTTGCGCCATCACGCGACAGTCACTTTGAATGTCGGAGTCGGAAACATTTGGATTTAAGCTGGGCGACTGGATTGTTGGGTCCCCAAGGCGATTGGACAACAACATTCCCTCAATGAAAGTTATGACAAGGTAAGGGCCGCATCCCCATCGACCCATCCCAAGAATGCGGGGGACAGGGAGCGCGGTATTTTGAGATAGGAATTTCATGACTGAAGCCTCGTTTCTACTCTTTTCTGTCCGAAAGCGGCTTCTACCCAGGATTGGGAACCGAACAAGTGCACGGAATCCATCCTCAAAGGTAACAATGCAGCAAATATTGTAAGCGCCCGTGGTAAACTGTGAGACATCAGCTACCCGTGCAGTGCCACGACGATGCTGGGTTGCGAGTCTCGACGGCAAGGCAGGGGACTGCTGGGAAAGCAATTGTAGCCAGCCAGCAAACAACTTGTCATTATAGTCCTCAGCAAGATGATCCCAGTCCATAGTTGTTGAGGTCGGAGTCGGAGGCAATAACGGAACAACAGCAATGGGTTTGTCGATGCGTTTCAGAAAACGTGGTTTGGCATTCGGCACCGATAATCGGGTATCTTCGGGTCTAATCGGTGCTGCGGGGATAAAGAGTTGAGAGTCGAGAGCTTATTGGAGTATTAAGCGCTGGACAAACAACAGATAGGGACTTACAACCTAAGAGTACACGACACCATGTCTGCTGGGAGATAATGTACTAGACAGAAGAACGGCAAGGTTCAGCAACATATCATTGATAAATTGGGCCACTAGTTGGCGCTTCTATACACGTTGTGTCATCAAAATGCACCCCTCAACTTGTCGAGAAGATCTCATGAGTGTATTATGGCCCTTTACCATCGAAATCCTGTTGGCAAAGCCCAGCGATACGTGTACTTCAGACCAGTAAACTACTATTTCTCGTTTATCATGGACTAAACCAGACACGGGGACACCATAACAGTTAGGAATTTGCTGCAGGATATACACCTGTAGCATTGTTTGCTAATTATCCCACTATGAAGGCTGTACATTGTGCGCAACAAGCCGGTTCAAAATCTCAAGCATATGAGAAGTCCACCGTCACGAACATCGTGCTAAAATCAATAGTGAGATAATTCTTATGCAGAATGATAAAGGTTCGACGGGCCACAGTTGTTGAACCATCCATACTATCCTGTTGCCTCTTCAAGGAGCGAGGGTACACCAATGATTAGTTGCATGTAATGCTTGGTGATAGCATATGTCGCAATGTTGTTCAGAAACGAAACCTAACCCTGTTCCCTGAATACAAGTGTGACCCAGGCGCTTTGACCCAAGAGGCATACGTAGTGGGGATGCGCAAAATATTCAAGCCGGCGTTTGCCAGATTGTCGATATCCGAGGTTGTGATATAGGTCGCATATCTTCGCTCTAGGATTAGGACCGCACTGCGGACCCTGGTTTACACAGAGGCCCCATTCATCGTCCGCACCTTGGAATATTTGCCCACCAAGTAGTATCGATGGTACATTCTTGCTCAAGCCACCCGCCAAGATTCACCCCGTTGGCGCAGTTTGTGGTACAATTGAGGTACTCCGCTGCTGCGAGAGCAAAGACAGCTTGAAACACGAAGGTAGGAAGTAGCTTGACCATTCTTACAGTGGTCTGAGTGAGGTTACCCCAGAGACGTAATGAACTGAGAGGTGGTTGATGAGGATGAGGATGTTTATGATTCTCTTCCTAAGCGGGGTATGGTGTACCTATGTATCCTCCATCGCGATTTTATAGCTGATTCTAATTACCGCAATGGTGACAACTCGGAAGCGTCTCCGTGTATGTTTGTGGAAGACCACAGAGCCTCTCTACATGAGACACTTTTGCTTCCCATCATCGCTACAGGGTGTATGAACCGTAAAGGCTCGGGCTAGCACTTTGCCGAAAGATGGATGAGCCTTGATCCTTCAGCTTTAACCGATGTATATTCCTCCATAAGGCCTTTCCATGGACAGCTGCATGTAGATTCCTCTACATCCCGAAACGCACTGACATGGAGAAACAGAGCCCACTTCAAAGGATTGCCGATGGTACCAGCAAAGCTGATAGAGGTTGGCGATGGCAGTAGCCTTAGCTCTTACCCCTCTGTGTCTGAGTAGCACTCAAAACCTTCCCATACTACCCTCTTCGACAGACGCCTTTCATAAAAAGACGTGTGGTTATACCATTTGCCGGGTCCAAGTTTTCTGCGAACAGGATGAGGTTCCGTAGTCAGGGAGATCCCCCTGAATCACGTACTGTCGATATGAATTGGAATAGTCTTTACGAACATATCCATAATACAGTTCGGAACACAGAGCTATACACAGAATCATCATAAGTCCGATTGCCCAACACCTTTGAGGAATTCGCCGCAGCGGAGCGCGCGGGCACCGAGTATCAAGCTTCCAACTCAGGGTCTGATGCGGATCTGCAGTGGAGCCGAAGAAGGATCCCGCATGCTGTCGAAGACGATCCCCATATTATTCCACGGGGCATATGTGTGCCTGGGTTGTACGGTAAGGTACCCTGTCGGATCCGGATCACTCGGTTGGTTTCACGACGTCTGTTTGGCTGTATGCCATTCTCTCTGTACGCCCGTCTTTGTCCCATACTTTTAACCGTCGCGTAAACGCTTGGTTGGATAAAAAATTAGTCTGGGACGCTAGAATTCATACGCATCGCGATGATAGTATTGATATTATTCGCCCCTATTTTCTACCTTCCATGAGCAACGGAAAGTTCGTCTATCTCGAATGTCCCTAGCAAATTCGCAACAATGAATGGGCTGTTAGATGTCCGGCGCCCTTCATCTGGCGATTCTGTCGAATTAACATAATCTCACCTGCTAGGCAAATATATATTCATTCGCACATTTTTAATCGTGAAAGACGGGCTTCTGCTGTTCGGGGAGTACTTAGTCGTAGTGTCGGCGCGTCCGTGTGACGGCAACGCCAGGATCTTGGAAAGGCTTTCTTGATTGACAGTGTAAGCCCAGACCCACATGTTCACTCTCATCTGCTTCATTCCACATCCATCCATTGGGAACCCCGCCTTGGCTTTTCTCGCCGATCCCCGTCTACTCCTGCGTAGCACAGTTCAGACTCCGCGGAAGCCCCGATGCTCCGGGCTTTCGTAAATGAGCTCACAGGTGCGGCCTGTGCCGGTTGGGGAAGCTTTACCCATGGGGCAGGGGTCTAGTGACTCCGGAGACAACTGCGCCGCGATGAGTGCACGTAGAGCTGATGATCGATTAGTTCTTGACAATGCTCAGGCTGCCTACTTATATTCGCATAGGCGTAGAACATAAGCAGTGCTCAAGAGCATCACAAGAAGCGCGGTTCGATGCACGCACAGCGACAGCAGGGTCATTCGCCTTCTATATGGAAGCAAACGGGTGTTACAAGCTTGGCAACGACACTCTTCACCGAATGTACGCCGGTGTATTAGGGAGGAGGGGTGACTTCCCCAAGCAACAGGTTGGCAGCTCGTGGGATCGCATTGTGGACTTCGATCATGGCTTGACGCACTCGTTGTGAGGCAGCAGCAGCAATGGGCCAGGTTTGTCCCATAGACTTTAGAACGGCAAGGTTGAGAGCTAGGTATTGTCTCTGGCTCGCCTTAGAGGAATGCAGACTCTCGCTGAACATGGCGGCAACTTGGATAACGGAACTGAGGACCAGGGTGCAGGCAAAGAAAGGAGTATGACTGACAACCGAGGTGGACAAGGCTGCTAGCTGAGACAGTCTAACAGACCCCTTGATAACCCTGTGGGTGTGCTCTTGAGGGTCCAGGGTACTGGTGACGAATAAGGCCGGGGATGAGCACATCACCTGGCCTGTGACGGGCAGGAATGCGAGCAGACAGGAGCGTGGGAAGTGCAAATAGATGGTGGCGCAGTGCATCAACATCATGGCATGTGTCATCAGCTCGTCCTGCACCCCGTTGAGCTGAAGCATGGACCGTTGGCGTGGCGGCAGTCGATGGAACCAGGCGATGTTGGCCGCGTTCAGTATGTCTAGTGTCTCCTCACTGACGTGCGTCTGGCCGGCTCGGAGGCAATTGCGAAGCATCAACGCAGCCTCGACGCGGTAAGCCCCCGGGGAGAATTCCACATCACCGCAGAACAGAGCGTTTTGTTCCAGATCCGCCAGGGTGGACGGAAAGGGGTTGGGGTCGGAGATGACGTCGCTAGCCTGATACTGATCCAGCTCACCAGGAAGAGGCGTGGTGGGGGTTTCTTCCATGTGGAACTGCAAAACCCCATCGACCTGGACAGCCGCCAGCAGCACATCGATCACAACGATCTCCCACCAGGTGCGCCGCAGACTCTCGGCCTGGAAGGGAGCATCCGCACGGATGGCGTCCGAGGTCTCCCGACGGTGCAAGCCCAGGTCCAGTGCACCCTGCAGGGCCTGCCCCAGATATGAGCGGGCGTCAGGGGCCTGCTGTCGCCCGTGATGCACAATGGCGAGGAGCAGGAAGGCCTGCACCTTTTCAATGGTCAGGTCCGCAGCCTGCACGGCCAGACCAAGGGACTCGCTGCTATCCTGAAACAGCTGCGGGGACAAGTAATGGAGGCTGATGAACTCCATAATATCAAGCAGGAACGTGGGGGTTTCCGACTCGAGCAGGACTTGCATGGGGGCCAGGAACGGGTGGGCTTGGTGAAAGTGGAGATAGTACAGGGAGATCAGCTGCAGCCCATGATCGCAAGGCATGGAGCCCGCATGCTGCGGGTATTCCAGGCTGTGGCATTGCCCGAAGGGACCTGTTGAGAAAGAGATGGGATCCACCGGTATTGAATTGGAGTTGGGAGTGGGCAGACTGGTGGTGTCGTGGGGAACTGCTGCTGGTGCTGCTGGGCGACACTTGCGACCACGACGGGAGGGCACGAAGCGGCAGGTGAGCCCCAAGGACTGGCAGCGAGCACAGCCGGTCAGATTGCCGTCGCATTTGAGATGCTTTTCTCGGCAGCCCAAACAGGCCACGGGGGCGGTAAGATCCATAGATGGCGACAAGATGCTATGGGAGCGACGCTATGATTTTGGTAGTAGAAGTTGTATGTTAGATAGAAAGAGTGATGAGGGATTGTGGACGAGGGAACCAGGTCTTACTATGCCGCCTATTAATACTAGTTGAATTAGCTTAGTTCGCGTTAGCAACCGCTTAAGTAGTCACAGACTGCCGGACATTTATTCTTCCGATCACTGCAGACCCAATGGTAGACATTCATCTTGTCTACAAGGGCCATTTTTCCAGTTGATGTAAGATACCTGTCATTCACTCTAACTTCGGGTAACTATAACTACTCTAGTGTCCCATGTCTATGTCATCTCCCTCTGCCACCTCAATCTCCAATTCCGCATCAATCTGGCTACTACTTCGACCAACCCAGCAGGCATACTTGCCCGCATCCAATCGCCACTGCGCCACCCGAGCATCGTACCAGCTCAGCTCCGACCCCCGGATGGGGATCGACACTTCGCGCGACACTCCCGCTGGTACAGCAATTTTACAGAAGCCCGCCAGAGTCTTGGGGAAGCTCATTTCCCCAGCCTCCCGGATCTGGGCTGATGGCGCTACATATACCTGGACCACCTCTTGCCCGTCGCGGCCTCCGACATTGCAGACGCGCGCCTGGATCAACGCAAACTGAGACTCCCGGGAACGTCCCTCCACGCGACCGCAGACCCGAATGTCGGTCAGCTGGAATCGTGTATACGAAAGACCAAAGCCAAAGGGCCAGAGGGCAGGGATCCCCTGGGCATCGAAATGGCGATACCCGACACGCACCCCTTCCCCAAAGGTGTTGCGGTCCTGCGCAGCCTCTCCCGGGAACCAGGCGTTGGAGCCATGTTCTTCGAGCCGTCGAGGGAAGGTAATGGGGAGTCGACCGCTGAAGTCGCAGTCGCCGAGCAGAGCGGCTGCCAATGCATGCCCATTTTCCTGCCCCTGATACCAAGCCATCACCAGCCCCGAGGCAGCATCGACCCACGGCATGGCCACGGCGCTGGCCGACTGCACAACCACGACGGTGTTGGGATTAGCGGCACAGACAGCGCTGACCATCTCGTCCGTGCGACCGGGAAGCTGCATCGTTGCGCGGTCGCCTCCTTCGCCCTCCGAATCCTTGTTGTGGCCCACCACCACCACCGCCACATCGGCCTGCCGGGCGGCCGCCACGGCCTGCGCCAGCATTTCCTGCTCGTCCTGCTCCAAGGCCAGGCCAACTCGTATTTCGGAGATCCGCGGGAATAGCGTGTTGTCAAATGCCTTTACCACTGGCAGCGTGACCACGTTGTCCACCCGCAGCTGGTAGGCGCGGCCCGCTTCCAGATAGACGCTGGCTGTCTTATCTGCGCTAGAGCAGCCCAGAAATCCGCCCGTCAGACCAGTCCACTCCGTGTTGTCAATTAACAACTCGTCATCAACAAAGAGCTTGGCTTTCCCAGTATTTGCCAGGCTCCAGGTATAGCGACCTGACTCTTGCGGAGTGACCACCCCGGTGGCACGGTAGGAGTATGGCCGGTCGTCCAACACGGCCGGGACATCACCATCACTAAATAGATAGATGAGCGAGTCGTCCCACATACTAGACGCTACCACCGGACCCTCCAGCGCATGACCTTCAAAGAAGCTAACTTGCCAGCCGCTCCGGGACCCGTCGGGGACAGTCAAGAGCTTTCCCAGTAAAGGCGGGCGCAGGCTGCTCGGGATCCCCTGCTCGTAGGAGACCTGCAGCTCTGCGTTGGCCGCATGAAGGGCATCGCGCAGGCAGGCTTCCGGAGTCGAGACGTAAAAAGGGTTGACAGCGGCGCTGCCGGCACCGCCCGCGGTGGGCTGACGAGCGTTGGGCCCAATGATGGCGACTCGCTGCAGCGTGGTCGGCTTGAGAGGCAGGATGGCCTTGTCATTCTTGAGCAGGACGAGCCCACTCTGGGCTGCATCGCGCGCGATTCGGTGAAAGATGGGATCATCCGTAGCAGCTTCGGAGTGTTCGGTGGCCTCTGTAGCGTCTCCCAACAGGCCTGTGCACTCCAGGAGCTGCAAGAAACGGCGGACACTCGGGTCGACATGCGCGGCCACCTCGACCTCCCCAGCTCGAATGGCAGCCAGCAAGCGTTCTCCGCGGCGGACGGCTGGACCCGGCATTTCGAGATCAGTTGTGGCGCGCAGGCTGTCGGCTGTACTATTCAGCCCTCCCCAGTCGCTCATGACCAGACGATCAAATTGCAGCTCTTGCCGGAGTAGACGAGGAAGAATATGTGGGCTGATGTCGGCGTGCAGGCCGTTAATCTTGGGATAGCTAACCATGGCCGTCCAAGGCGTGCTAGCCGGGTCATCGAGAACCATCGTAAACGGCTTCATGTAGACCTCGCGTAAGGTGCGTTCATCAATGGTTTGGTCAACATTGAATCGCCGCGTCTCAGTATCGTTCAAGATAAAGTGCTTCATGCACGCGCCCACTCCCTGTGCCTGAATACCTCGGATCATCGCCGTGGCGGTCACTCCGACCAAATAGGGATCTTCGCCGTAACTCTCGAAATTTCGACCACCTAGGGGCGAGCGCGATAAGTTCATGGTGGGTGCCAACAGTACCTGGCAGCCCTTTCGGCGCGCCTCCTGGCCCAACACCCTTCCAACTTGCTCTAGCATCGCCGGATCAAAGGTAGCAGCCAGGGAGATTCCGCACGGTATCCAGGTGGTCAGGGAGCCGTAGGTCCACTTGGAGCCCCGGGCACCGGCTGGTCCGTCCGTCATCTTCAGACTGGGGATGTGTAGGCGGTCGATGTTGACGGTTTCCCACATGTTCTTGCCCGCCAGGAGGGCCACTTTCTCCTCCAGCGTAAGGGACTGGAGCAGTTGACGCACATGGGAGGATGCTCTTTCTTCCTGGGACATGTTGAGCAGCAGATCGGTATGGAAATCCCAGAAATGGTTGATCTTGGGGATACTGTTGGCAGAGATCGGGGGAAGGAGAGGGTAATTGTTCTTTCCTGGTCACCCATGCACTCCACTTTGCATCTCTACGACTCTACACTCCCGCCCCCACGGGGAAGAATATGGACTTTCTATCCGGATTTCCTCCTCCAGTCCTCCGGTGTGACAAACCGATCTTGTTACTGTATGAAGATTCTTCACTGGTGATGCCCTATTAGTCCCGGCGATATAGTGGAGAATCAGTCGCCGAATTAGTGGGTCCGCCGGGTCCACTGGGCCGCCATACAGGTTTGCCTCTTGCGGACAAGATCCCGACTTAGAACATGGTATGAGGCCTTCAGCGCCCACAGCTCAGAGGTTAGGATTTGACTAGCATGGACGTGACACTAAGGTTCGTGTTGGACCCGCCCTCGCATGAGTATCTGGTTCTTTTCATGGGCCTGCCATGAACATGACCCACCTCTCATGAAGTCCTTCCCCGCGGGGGAATTGTCTCGCTTCCTTCGAGCTCCAACGAGGTATCAAGATGCTCCGACTCTGGTCATTATCAGGCACCCAATATCCCCTTCCAGTAAGCCCTTATGGAGGTGAAGGATGATTGTTGAAACGCTAAAACTAGCACTGGGAGTTTGCTTGTCGGCCAAGCTCGGTTATGCTCGTATTTGGCATGACTTAAAGCTGGTAGTGTTTCCCTCTCGCGTAGGATAGAAGTAGAGTCTGCCAATTCTCTGTCTTAATCGAGGAGTGCGCTGGCGAGGGAACCTGTCTATGCTCTGTCTTTAGAACTTTATCCTTCCAAGCATGTCATCTTCCAACCCTTCACGGGGTTTCCCCTGGCTCATCTGGGTCGTGGCTATCTTCGGCTCCGTCTCATCCGCGGGCTTTATTTCGATCAGGGCTGGTGGGCAAGTATGATGAGCTTGACGCAGTTTAACCGTCATTTTGGCTACTATGACCCGTTTCAACAGGCCTGGTCCCTCAGTAATCGACAACAGTCCCTCGGCACAGGTCTGGGCTATGTAGGAGTCATCCTCGGGCTGGTGTGCGGAACACCTCTCAACGAACGGCTTGGACGGCGGAACAGCCTCTGGGTGCAATCGGCGGTGGCGACTGCCGGAGTCGCCATTGAAGCATCCTGCCAGGACAGCTACGCGCAATTTCTGGTGGGCAAGGTAGTCGTCTACTTCGCCGGTGGCATCGCCTCGACGGTCATTCCGGTCTACCAAGGAGAGTGCGCACCCCAGCACCTCCGAGGAATGATGACGGGTCTATATAATGCCTTCCTGATGGTACGCGGCTTTTGTGCCGCCCTTATCGTCTACCTCTGTCGTCATGTGCCGAGCGACTGGGCCTGGCGCAGTGTTGTGGTGACGCAAGTAGCTATTCCCGCCATGGGGTGGCTGAGCCTGCCCCTCCTTCCTGAATCACCCTACTGGCTACTCCGTCGTGGCCGTCGTGCTGCCGCCATCGCCAGCCTGCGCCGGCTGCATGCCCTAGACGCCGCTGCCGCTGAGGCCGAAATCCTTTCCATCGAACAACAACTCGTCCTGCAGCAACACCAACAACAACAAGAGAAGGAGCTCGCATCCTGGATGGCTTGCTTCACAGATCCCGTCTACTTCCGTCGCACTCTCATCGCTGTGGGCGCACAGATCTTCCAGCAAGCCCAGTGGGAATCTCCTTCGTGGCCAACTATCAGGCCGTTTTTCTGGAACAGGTCGGTTTCCGCCAGGTTTTGTTGATGTCGGTGATTGTCTATATCATCGGCATAATCGGCAATTTAACGGGAATGTTCATGGCTGACCGGCTGGGTCGTCGCAACGTGCTCCTCCCGGCATCTGGCCTCCTCGGTGCATGTATGCTGACCATTGGCGGCCTCACCACCCCTTCCACAGCCTCATCCTCCCTCTCCATCGCTGTGGTAGTCATGCTCATGCTTTGGTTCTTTACATTTCAGAGCACATGGGGCCCGTTGGCCTGGGCAATCACCGCCGAAATTCCACCCACAGGGACCGCTGTCCGCGAGAAGATGGTTACGCTGGCGGGATCTTCGGCATACGGCACCGGTCTGGTCATCGTCTTTGTGAATCCCTACACTCAGGCTGCTATTGGGGGTAAGGTAGCCTTCATATACGGCGCACTGTCCGTCATCGCGGCGGCGTTTGTCTGGATGTTTGTACCGGAAACAAAACGCCGTTCGTTGGAGGAGATTGACGAGATGTTTATGGCGCGAGTGCCCGCGCGAGAGTTTAAAACGTATCAGTGCCACAGCAGTGCATCCGGTCTAGACAAAGCTGTGGATGACAAAGCGTCAGTGGATGAATGCATTTGAATCGAGGGTTCATCACGATAGTGGGGATGAAGTGGGTCTCATAGATATAGTAGCTACGTTGTATCAGGCAGAAGATTATTAAGGCATACAATCTCGCGTCAATATACTGGAATAGTAAGGAGCGAGCCACTCAAATAAAGGTTTAAGATGTTAAGATTCAGAAAACGCCGAATCTATCAGTTTATCTTTGATACTACAGGATCAAGGTTTAATTTTAATTAACCTAGATCCCTTCCAGGAGGCCAGGACTCTCGCACAGATTTGTCGAACAGGGCTTCATAGCTATTCTATACAAATTCCCTCACTCGCATGATTCAGGTCGAAGTGTAAGCGCTATGCGCACGTATGCGACTTCCTAGACGGAAGAACAACCAGGGCAGAGGCGCAAAAGCAGCGGCCAAGAACCCCAATAAGCTAGATGCCCAGCTATAGCCCAAGTTATGATACACTGGAGGCGTGACCATTATTAGTGGCTGACTAGGAAGGGGAATTATACGAGTGACTTACTGGCTATTGTAAAAAGAGGAAATGAGCCGCCAATGCCGTACCTCAGTAAGCCATTGGCGGCCAGCGCAGAAGCTCCGAACTTGGCACCGTACACCCGGGTGAGGTAGAGTGCAGTAGATATCTTGCGGCAGGCAATAGGGTCAGCGTTCGGATTTCAATGTCGGGTGAGACGACATGCCAACTCACGAATACCATAATGTTGGAACAGCCGAAAAGACCGATCGCGACGATGCTGCTCATCCAGTGCACATGACTGGCCGAGGTCCAGGCAAACCAAAACAGAGCAGCTGGCATCAACGGACCGCCAATCATGGCAGCCCACAAGACGCGCTCTGGGGGCGGGGCGATCCCTCCTCCCGGATGAAGCCGGAGATGCCGCGCCAATGTATAGTGGTCCGCCACCAACAGCCCGACACTTCCAAGCAGACAACCCAGGGCCAACGCAATAAAAACCAGTCCGCATTGGCCCGGGGTGAAGCCGTACACATCGGTGTAAACGAGCGGAACACAGGCGAGAAAACAGAACAAGACAGAGAAGTTGAGGGACGAATACATCGAACACAGACTCACAATCGGCTCGGTGAAGATCATATACACTGGTCGTGCCAAAGTCACCGTGAGCATCATCTGGATCCCAGCCCAGCCCGGTGGAATTGGGCTGGGAGGAACTGGGAGTCCTAGTTTAGCAGCACGGCGACGGATCAGGGGCTGGGCATAGGACTCCTGGGCCCCCATGCTGAAGATCCAAAAGGCTGCCCCGAGGAATAGCGATGTCCACTGCGACCAGCGCCAATCCTTGTACTGGGCGATCCAGCCCCCAATTAGCGATCCAATGGCCGGGCCAAGGAAGGCAGTGGTCATGAGTAGGGTGACACCGCGCCCGGTAGCTTGTCCACTCCAGACGTCCATGATTGTGCCCGCCCCAACGGCCAAGGGCGCTGAGATGAACGTCCCCGCCAGTAAGCGACACACAGCGAGAGTGGCGAGGTTGTGAGCGAAGCCCGCCCCGAGGATGAAGAGCATAGCAATGGGGGTCATGACGAGGTAGATGAAGCGACGACCGTAGGTCTCACTGATGGGAGCTGCAATCATGGGCCCGAAGGCCAGGCCATAGACGTACATAGCGAAGGGCACCAGAGATTTTGTAGTCGAGGTGTGGAAGGCTTCTTGAACATGGCTGTGGGAAGGAGAGTAGATAGCCAGCGCGAACGATCTATCAACATTGCAATGTTATGATTAGTATCAGTCGTCGTTCATGGAAGGCGTCTCCATTCCCGCGTGTGTGAACTCACATCAACAGACAAAGAAGCGACGGCACAGCAGTATTGTAAATCTTTTTGGAACGACTCCAGTTCTGACCATTAGCGGGACCATCCTCCCATAGGGGCAGTGACGATGAGGGTAGAGCGACCGTCTTGGGTTCACTGCTGTCCGAGCTACTGGATCGCATGATGGCTATGACGGTCGCATTTGATCTGCTTCATCATCTTAAGCAAACCGATACTCGGTCGCTTTATAAAAAAGACATAGTCCGGCAAGATCGGATGCTTTCGGTGGGGCTCCCATCGACTATCAATAATCTCAATGCATGTCTAGGTGATATGCTCTGTAAGGACATGATCTTTAGTTCGCCGACGCTTCCCCCCAGGATTGCTCCACGTTCGCGTGGTCCGGTACTCAGGATGTAGAAATGCTTCGTCGACATTCTCCTAAACTGTTTGATTTATTGCCAGTTCGGCGTGAAATTGGAACACTCTCCTTCTAACTTCAGCTAATTTCAAGAGTTGATGCCCTGGTGTGACGGGCACAATCGGCGCCTGCCTATCGGGAGGGGCCCGGGAAAGGATCCACTATTTCGGCGAGTCTAAAATCATTAGACCCATGAGATGGTCTCTATCTATCCGACCCATTTATTTACATGCTGTCCCTAATTCGATGCCATCGCCTCGCTCTTCTCCTTCAGCACTTTCTGTACCTCTGGTCTCGCCTTCATTCTCTGCATCCACGCCTCCACATGGGGAAATTGCTCGGTCAATTCCTGCACCACGCGCTGGTCCCCGACCACCAACGGCACCAGATCCTGCCAGGGAACAAAGGAGAGGTCTGCATACGTGCACTTGTCTCCCACAAGCCATTCGCGGTCCGTCAACACCCGGTCCAGCACGCTCATCACGCGTCGGATTTCCGCCGTGTAGCGTTCGATGGCCTGGGGCACCTGCTCGGGCTGCCGCCGGAACCAGCCTAGCTGTCCGTAATACGGCCCCTGCCCGGACACTTGGAGATGCAGCCACTGCTGCAGCTGGTGGCGTTCGGGAAACGTGTCATAGCTCAGCTGGTGGCTCGGATCATAGGTCTCAATTAGGTAGTTCACAATGGCGCCTGACTCCCACAGGGTGATGTTCTTGTTGGGATCCACGATGGTTGGCAGCCGTCCATTGGGACAGAGGCTCACGTAGGGCTCCTTTTTCACCTCGGTGAAGTCAACCATGATCGTTTCGTAGGGGATGCGCAGAGCGGAGAGGATGATGGCGACCTTCCACGGATTAGGCCCGATGGGTGCGAGTAGAGAGTGATGGGCTGCATGGTCTTTGCTGCTTTGCTCGGAGGAAGAGTGTTGGAGATTCAGAGGGAATGGAAGTCTGTGTTTGCTTGTCTGAGGACTTGGTAGACTTTCTGTGGCTTCGATCCGTCAAGGTCAACCCTATATAGTGCCGGGAAGGATGGAAGGCTGCAGGCTGCATGGTGGGTCGCCGTCGCCGAATTGCTTGCAGATTCGGCGACTTCGTTCCTTTTGGCTTATCTCATCGTTGTTTGGTAGGAGAGTCCATGGCCGTTCTAGACTTGCGGTTCAAGGGTAGGATGAATATTCTACTCCAGGCTTTCACTTTAGGTAGGTGGTACAGTCATTATATGGTCGACAAATGAAGCATGGAGGGCGGCGAGTCCACTTCCACTGGAATCGAAGTCTTGATGAACAAAATGATGTCGAACAACTCAGTAACCGGCTGGCAACTTCAGGGGATTAATACAGACTCCAATTGATCTGTTGAGATCTGTCGGTTGGTAGTGGCTAGAACAAGTAGATAGTACTGGAGTTGTACATTCCGGGTCCGAAATCGACATTCTTCCCGACCACAAGGCCTATATAGAAATATTATCATATATTTTTATTCCAGGGTAGCTTGATTGATAGTAGTCATTTCATGATAGGAATACTCCGATTCTGCCCCATTTTCAATGTGAATATGAACGAGATGTGTATCTCTTTTTTTTTTTAAAAACAACTATTGGTTGGGCAGCTACTGGCTGAGATTATATATAACTGTTGGACTGAGGGACAAACAGGGCCACGCTATTCGCTCGCTGAATTGGGCAAAGATCCCCCCCCC